AGCTGGGACTACAGGCATCCGCTATAATGCCCGGCTATTTTTTGGTTGTAGTTGTCGTTGTTTGGCAGGCCCGGGCTGGATTCAAACCTGCCAGCTCTGGTGTATGTGGCTGGCGCCTTAGCTGCTTGAGCTACAGGCACTGACCTCTGGCTATTTTTTTGTTGTAGTTTGGCCAGGCCTAGTTTTAACCTGCCACCCTTGGTATATGGGGTCAGTGCCCTATTCATGGAGCCACAGGCGCCACCCATGATTTTTTTTTTTTTTTTTGAGACAGAGTCTCTGTCACCCTGGGTGGAGTGCCATGGCATCATACCTCACAGCAACCTCAAAGTCTTGGGCTCAAGAGATCCTCTTGCCTTAGCCTCCCCAGTAGCTGAGACTATAGGCAACCACCCCAATACCCAGCTAGTTTTTCTATGTTTAATAGAGATAGGGTCTTGCTTTTGCCCAGGCTGATCTCAAACTCCTTAGGAGATTCACCTGCCTTGGTCTCCCAGAGTGCTAGGATTATAGGTGTGAGCCAACACACCCAGCCTTGTAGCATGACTTTTTGGGCTTGTTTCTGAAAAATATAACTGTCTGTGCATAATGTTTATAAATGTACACAAAGAGTATCTGAAAGGATCCACACAAGACTATTGGTAGTAGTTTTGCTTGGAGAGTGGAGGTGGGACAGGAGGGATAGGTGCCACCTTCACCTTTCACTTTATAAACTTTTAGGCTTTTTGCACTATACTAATACAATAAGTTAATAACACTTTGTTTTCAATTAAAACAAAAGTCAAAGGCCCCCAAAGTTCTCTAGGCTGTAAAGGCACAGCTCTAGGCAAGGGGAGGAGGGTGGTTGGCCCAAAAGGATGGATGTGAGACTTCCTGTCTGCCCTACCCACCTCCATCCACTTCCGCAGCCTCAGCCCAGTCCACATCCTGGCCCAGGACTGCCTGACCCAACCCATGGGCCACAGGATGGAAAACAGAGAGTGGAGTAGGGCAGTCAGGCAGGGAGCCTGAGGAACTCAACTACTGTGGACCCACAGATGGAGCTCCTAGCCCAAGGCATCCAGCAGTTTCAGGGGCTGCCCCACGGGTGGGGATATCCTGTCTTCATTCCTCACTAACCCAGGTCAGTGACTTGAAATCCGTCAAATGAGGAAGGGGTAATTCAGCCCAGCCCCTGGGCCAAATCTGGACCTGGAGCTACCCCTCAGGCTGCCATGACTCTGGGTTCAGGCTCTGCTTTAGGGCTGGCTTCGCTTGCTAAGTCCCAAGAAATGGTGACTGTGGCCAATACTATGCTTCTCCCTTCCAGCCACTCTCCTTTTGTCTGGAGGAGCTGGCCTCTGCTTCAGCCCTTCTTGCCCCATGAGTAGTGGTCCTATGTGTGACATTCCCTTCTTGCCCCTTAGGAAACTTCTTCAAGCTGTTATGATTTTTCCCTTCCATGGTGTTCTGGAGAGTTTAAGAAATCTCCTCACCTGCTGCCCAGCTGCCAATCCATAGAAACCAAAATTAAGGCCTAGAGAGAGGACAGAACTTGCTCAAGCTACCCAGCAGGTCCTGGGCAGGGCAGGCCCGGGAACTCCTGCCTCTCTCCCTGTGGAGGACAGGCCAGTGAAGGCAGAGGAGGTGGGGGCCTCACACAGGAGCTGCTAAATGGCCATGTTCCCAACACCTAGACTCCCCACAGAGGCTGCAGTGGTTAGACTAGCCCAGGTGACATAAGACACTGGACACTGGTACTCAGAAGACCTGATGTTCCTTTCCTCACCTGCCTATATAAGGTTTGAGCATAAGCTCAAGGGTCCCAAGGCCCTTCTGAGGAAGGGGCCCCTTACACTGCTTCCAAGCCCACCTGGCTTCCCACTGGGTTCAGGAGGAAGTAGGCAGGTCCCCAGAAAGTCTACTGAGTGGCAAAGGAATCAGAGTGTGGATAGGAAAACACAGGCCCAAAGAGAGGCTGCACATCAAGTTGCTCCCCAGAGCTGCAAGGAGGTTCCTGTCCCCAACTCACCTCCCGGCATCTGTACAGCCTGCTGTGGCAAAGGCGGAGAGTCCTAAATTTCCTTGTTAGGAAGTTAACTGACCCTGGACCAGCCTCCAGACCCATCAGTGGTCATCTTCATCGGCTTAGAAAAGTGGCTGATGCATCACTCCTGCCGGTCACCATCCCCCGAAAGATACACTATTTAGCCCAACCTAGCAGTATACACCCCACTGGGGGCAGGGCCAGACAGAGGAGCTTCTGTGTCCTGGGTCCAATGGCTGGGCCAGGGCCAGTGTTCCCAGGGGTGAGAGATGAAGAAGGAAAAGGAAGCACCCTCCCAGGAGGGGGTTGAGCTCCAATCCCACCAGGACCAGCAGGCCCTGGGGCCTGGACACCCCAGATGAGGCCATGAGCAGCAAAACAATGGATCTAGTGGGAGGGCTTCCTGCCTGTCACCTCTGAGACAAAGCAGAGCCAGGAGAGGGCAATTGACCTCGTTAAAAATGATGGCTCCGGCTCGGCGCCTATAGCTCAACCGGCTAAGGCGCCAGCCACGTACACCTAAGGTGGCGGGTTCGAATCCCCAGCCCGGACCCGCCAAGCAACAATGACGGCTGCAACCAAAAAATAGCCGGGCGTTGTGGCGGGCGCCTTTGGTCCCAGCTACTTGGGAGGCGGAGGCAGGAGACTCGCTTGAGCCCTGGAATTGGAGGTTGCTGTGAGCTGTAATGCCATGGCACTCTGCCCAGGGGGACAGCTTGAGGCTCTGTCTCAAAAAAAAAAAAAAAAAAAATGATGGCTCCACAAATCAAGTGCCACTGTGTCCTAAGCCCAGGAACAGGCCATTGTCTCTGAATTTGTACAATCCATGATGTAGAAATTATTTTAACCTTTTATAGATGAGGAAATTTGAGGCCCAGCAATAGGCACCAATCTGCCAGAGGCCTGCAGCAGAAAGTGGTACCAGGAGGCCCTGGCTGACTCCAGGACCATCTGTCTGAGCCTGGAACCCCCAACCTGCTCCCCTGCCTCCCAGGTCACACCCACCCTTACATTGGCCCAACACCTGCTTAGTGCCTGGCCAGCACCAGCCAGCAGCTGTGGTCAGTACAGCCAGCTCCTGCTTCACCAACTCAGGACTCTCCTCCCTCCTCCCATGCCTACAGAGCCTCCTAGGCCTCCCTGGCACTGGGAACGGGGAGGGAGGGGACAAAGGCAGTGCTGTGGGCCCAGTGCCAGGTCTCCAGCAGCTCCTGAGAAGGCCAGAGCAAGAACAAGAGAGCACCAGGTCCCCAGGCCCTCACGGTGTGACTGGTTACATAATATGTGAGGTCCTGTGCAAAATGCAAATGCAAGGCCCCTTGTTAACAAAAATTAGGAATTCCAAGTTGGTGACAGCAGAGCACTGAGGTAAATATAGGGCCCTGGCCCCTGGAGCTGGAAGCTAGAACTCCAGCCCAGCTGATAGCCCAAGGGCTTGGGGCTCAGTGCTCAGTTAGTCTTCCGGTCTCCAGAGAAAGGAAGGAGAGGGCAGAGCAGGGGTCAAGGCCTTGTGGGCTCCCTCCAAGCCACAGGCACAGGCCACAGACCTGGGATGGCACCCTGGCTCAGCCATTCCATGGCTGTGGGACTTTAGCTGAGTAGCCTCAACTCATCTGTAAATTGGGCTGACACATGATCCCCTCCCAGAGCGGCTGCACACCCTTATTCACAGAAACCAAAATCAGGCACAGAAAGAGAAAGGAGCAGCAAAAAAAGCCTCCGGCCTGGGGGCTGAGCAATGAGACCAACTCACTACAGGGCAGCCCCCCAACCAGGGCTGCTCTCCACCTTCCTGTTCTGCAGAGGGACCAACCCCAGAATCAATAGGGAATTTAACTGGCAAATGTCTTTGGAATTTGGCCACATCAACATGGAGTGCAGGAATTTCCTTCCCACCAAGTTGTTTCCTCTAAGGTCCTGACCCTCCTATCACTGGGTGCAGAGCTACGGCTCCCAAAGAAGCCTCTGACTTGGGGTCAGTTTCCTGGCTAGAGCAGCCAAGGGGCCAGATCTTAGAGAAGCCCTAACACACTGGAGAGGGGAGCTGGGTTGGCACCCCCACTAGCAGGTGGTTGCTGGGGAAGAGCCTCAGGGCATGGAGTCAACAGGTTATGGGATTATGACAGGGACAGAAGCCCCAACCCCCACCCCTAAACGCATCATCACACTAGAGACAGTGTCCAAAAAACACGCTTTACCCGTACGCTCCTGATATGGCCTTGGCAGTCAGGCTTAAAGGCCTGTTCAACCAGCAGACCCCAGGCTCTCACCGCCCCAGCCAGGGAACTGGCCTGAGAAGTGTGGCACCAAAGGCAGCTGGGAAGGGGAGGACCAGGACTGGCACAAAGTCATGATGCTGGTGAATAGTGGGCCATGAACCCCGGAGTCAAAGGCCACTTGATTGACCAGGAGGTGGGATGAACCTCAAAGTGCTATATAGATTGGTTGGGGAGTTGGGGGGAGAGGAGGGCACCCTCTTTCATTCCCCTTCAAGTCATGAGGTCCGAGATGGCTGCAGGTGTTCTCAGGGCAGGGCAAAAAGAAACCTAGGTCCACTCGGTATGTGGCAGGAGGCAGGATCCACAAGATAAACATTTTCAATGGAGTGTAGTAACTGGCCTGGGATGGGAAAGAGGCCTGGAGAAGGTGTGGCAGCTGACCAGGTGTCAGGGCTACTCAGTCTTCCAGGACGGATGGGCAAACACGATAGGCCTCTTCTTAGCCCAGCGGGAGAAAACAGCCTTCTCAGTGATGAAGCGGTGGGCACTTCGGGGTGCCCGCTCATGTGCCAGGTACATCTGACACTCATCCAGCCGGCCCTTCTCGAAGTAGTGGTAAGGCACTGACGGGTGGCTCTTCTCCCTGAGGGGTGGGGAGCAGTGCTGCTGTGGGACAGGTACAGAACTCGCCCACCTCCCCCACACCCTGCCACCACCACAGAGACCCATGCTGGGTCCCAGGACAGACAGGAGGAGCAGTGCAGCCCTCAGATCCCCCAGGCCAGGGTTCAAGTCCCAGCTCTGCCTCTTGCAAGCTGGGTGACTCTGGGAGAGAGATGTACTCCATGAGCCTCAAGAACCCACGTGTGAAATGGAGATGGCAAATGTCTTTGGAATTTGGCCACATCAACATGGAGTGCAGGAATGCACCTTCCAGGATGAGAGTATCAAGTCAAAAGGTGAGGCTGCAAAGTTCCCTGCTGGTGCTGGGCTCCCATGGCACAGAGCCACCAGCCCTACACTCCCACCTTCCCATCAGCATCACAGAGACCAGTGGTGAGGCCAGGGCCACAATTGGGGCATACAGACCCCTGCCATCTCACTCATGTACGCAACAAGCCAGTTCCAAAGAACATGGGGTGAAAATATGGCACCTTTTCTGAATTCATTAGTTATAATAATATTGAAATATAATTAACATTTTAATACCATAACCATATCTGAACTTGATGTTAGGATGACAAAATATTATCCAACGTAGAAACTTATATGTAGTAGGTCACTGATACGCCCTGATTTGTGGTGAGCACTTTTGTAGATTATTCTCTCCCTTGGTGTTTCAGCAACCACCTAAGGAAGGCACTATTCTTTCTCTTATTTCACATGAGGAGGTAGAGGCTCTGGGGGGGGTGGTATGACTGGCCAGAGACGGCACCTGCAGCGCTGGCGTGGGTATGAGAGCCCCTTCCAGGGACTGAGCTCCTTCCCCTTCCAAGGCCTGCTGCCTCGGCTACCCACCGTGAAGCCCACACACTCTATGCCCCCATAGCTCCTAAGTCCTCTGGCTTTAGGCCTGGGCAGGGGCCCATGGCCCTCCCCACCTCCCCTCCAGCCCAGGGCCTGGCTGGTCTGACCTGCAGTAGCTGCCGCTGACCATTCCATAGACCACGATCTCCTCACACAACTCCAGGGCAAGGATCATGGTGAACCAGCCGGTGCTGAGAAAGGAGCCTGACTGCCTCCTGAGGGTGAGGGTGGAGGGTGGAGGGACACCATCAGCTGGGCTTGTCCCCAACACCCAACATGGAGCAAGGGGCCTTGTGGCAGCCTCAGGCCTCAGCCCTTTCAGGGAAGTGGCACTGGGTACTTCCTAGCCAAGGATCCCTCACCTCAACCTGTACAGAAGGTGCCCAGGGTAACCAGGGTGCAGACAGAGTCGGCCCAAGGCATCAGGGGCCCAAAGGTAGACCTGGACAAAAACCTAGGCCTGGTCAACTCCCCACCAGCCCAATAGGGCTTAAGCCAAGCTGTGCTTTGCAGGGCCTGAGCAAACTCCTGGCTGATGGGTGTTGGGGCTCTGGCCACATCTTCTCCTCATCTAAGGGACCAGGCCTGGGGAGATAGCACAGCACAGTAATTGAAAGTTGGGGTGTTTGTTTGGTCTTCCAAATGGTCTGCCATTCAAAGCCTGACTCTGCTATTGGGCATCAGATTTGCTTGTTAACCTCTCTGAGCTTCATGACCCACCTGTGAAATAGGGAAAATTCTAGGTAGTTATGAGGAACAATGTCAGGTCAGCCCTGCCCCACAGCCTCCACTTCCCCACTTGCAGTGAGGGGCTGTGTGGCCCCAGGCCTCAGTTCTCTGGAGCAGCAACACTGGATACCCTCCCAGCTGAAGGCCACACACCTCGACCTCCTTAGAGGGGACATGAGTTGGTTTATTCATTCAAACTCACACCTCCCATGCCCTATGCTTGCCCTGGACCTGCCACACCTGGTGATAACATTCCCAAGGGAAGGAGATACCTACTGCCAAGACAAGGAAACAAAGGAATAGGACAAAGAATGTCAGGGCAGGAGGTGGGCCTTTAGATGGAATAGCCAGGAAGGGCTTCCCTGAAGAGGTGACATTTCACCCAGATCTGAGAAGAAGAGGAGGCAGTCATGAGATGATAAGGGAGAAGAACATCCATTCCAGATAGAGGGAATGGCACGAAAGCCAGTATGATTGGAACCACGTGAATGAAGCAGCTGAGACCACAGGGGCAGGCAGGGGTGGGTCATACAGACTTGCAGGCCACAGGAAGGGAGGAGGTAGGAAAATGGGACTTCATTCTCCCTGAGGTGCAAAGCTGCTGAATTCATTGCAGTCGAAGAGCTCAGATGGCAAGGCCAAGGGAGGTAGCCGGGAGACCAGCCAGGGGCTGCTTAGAGGGCAGGAGAGGATAGTGGCTTAGATCTAGGCAGCACTCAGGGCCACGGCATGTGGCAGATGACAGTACGAGAGGTGTCAGGGGCTTAGCTAAAATACCAAGGTGGATAGTTCTATTTCCTGAGTTCTGGAGGCTGGGGGAGAAGCAGGGGTATATAGGAGGGGCCAGCAGAGGTCAGGGTATTTCTTGGGTATGGGATAAAATGAGGCCTTGAATGCAGAGGGCTTAAGCCAATGCCTGGTGCATGAAGAGACCTGTTATTGCTGTAACTGATACTTTTATTATCTGGAAGGGATGTCAGAAACCAAGTCAGATCTCAGAGCATCCCTTCCAAAAGACAGTGCTTGGGGAGGCGCCTGTGGCTTACTGGGTAGGGTGCTGGACCCACATACCCAGGGTGGCAGGTTCGAACCCAGCCCTGGCCAAACTGCAACATAAAAATAGCTGGGCGCCTGCAGTCCCAGCTACTCGGGCATCTGAGGCAAGAGAATCGCCTAAATCCAGGAGTTGGGAAGTTGCTGTGAGCCGTGACAGCACGGCACTCCACTGAGGACAATAAAGTGAGACTGTCTCAAAAAAAAAAAAAAAAAAAGGCAGTGCTCACTAAGCCCTCCCCACTCTGGACAGTGCTCTCTATCAGGTGCTATAGTCCCAGCTACTTAGGAGGCTGAGGCAGGAGAATCACCCAATCGCCCTCACCACCATTTGGGATTCTAGATCTGCCCCATGAGAAGGCAGGACCTGTCTGCTCCATCACTGCCCTTCCCCAAGCGCCAGGAAGAACTCTGCAGGCAGGCAGGCCCCAGGCTCACCGGTTCTTGCCGGTCTCATCCTGGAAGATCTGGTCGCAGTAGGCCATCATACGCTCGGTGAAGGTGTACACCTGCAGGCCTGGGTACATCTTGGTGAGCTGTAACAGCGTGCGGTAGGTGCGGCCACCGAGGGCCCGGTCCATGTGCCTGCCCTGGCCCCACACCATGTAGAGAGTGTCTCGGGATTGCTGGAAGTAGTGCGAGTAGTTGCGCAGCAGCAGCGGCACAGTAGTGTGCGAGATGACGCGCAGGGTGCTGCGACGGCCCACATCCGCCTCATAGCCCGCGGTAGGTGCCTGGTTCATGCGAAGCACGCACTCAGCACTGTCGATCTCGGTGCCCAAGCCCGAGCCTAGCATCTGGCCGGAGCTGGACACGACAGCACAGCTGCGGCACTGTTCCCGGACCAGCGGCTGCAGGGAGGGCCAAGTGGGGAGAGGGAGGTGTGGGAACACGGCTTCTGCCCCCTGCACCTCCCCTAGAACCCCTGCATGGACTTTGCTTGATCAGAGATCAGCTCAAAGGACTGTGTATTATTAACCCATTTTGCAAGCTAGGAAGGTGGGGTGACTTTCCCAGGGTCACACTGACAGCAAGCAGCAGAGCTCAGATTCTGTACTCAAGAGCCTTGCCTTCCTCATCAGCCACATTCATGGTCCTCATCCCTGCTGCCATTTCTGGGGCCCTAATAGTCCCTACATCATGGGCCCTTTTGAGGATTACATAAGCAAATATTTATAAAACATTTAGAAACTGACTAGATGTCAGTTAAGAGTTTGTTAAGTAAACACAAGTCTCAGTTCTTCAGAATCACTCCAAGGCCACGCCCTCCCCTGCCAGAGCCCCACCCACACTGTTCCCAGTTTCTAAAAGCAAGGTCTTCTGTGTCCAGGAGAGCCTTGGGACTCTGGGACTCTCCAGTCATGAGCCTGAATCCCTGCTCAGTCCCTTCCTGTGGGGACCTGAAGCCAAAACTCTTAGCCTCTGTGAGACTCAATTCCTTCATCTATAAAACGGGGGGTGAAAATAGCATCTATGTGCACCAGTTGTGAGCATTCAGTGAGAAGTGTTTGGAGACCCTACGGAGCTGGTGGAACACAAGTGAGGGAGTTAGAAAAAGCAAGGACAGGCTGCCAAGGAGCCTGCGGCTGGAGGACAGAGGTGTTCTTTACAATGGTAAAACCCTGCCCCAGTGTCTTTTCTTTTTGAGACAGAGTCTGATTATGTCACCCTCGGTAGAGCGACGTGGCATCATAGCTCACAGCAACCTCAAACTCTTGGGCTCAAGTGATTCTCCTGCCTCAGCCTCCCAAGTAGTTGGGACTAAAGGTACCTGCCACAATGCCTGGGTAAATTTTGGTTGCAGTTGTCATTGTTTAACAGGCCCGGACCAGGTTCGAACCCACAAACCTACCAGGTTTAGTGTATGTGGCTGGCGCCCTACTCACTGAGCTATGGGCACTGAGCCCCTGCCCAATTTCATGGAGCATATTATACATATTTCTCCTGTGAAAGTCAGTAATCTTCTATCAAAACTCCTGAAAATCTAGCACAAGGTACATATCTAAAAAAAACAAAACAAAACTTCTGAAAATTTGTTCAGAGAGGGCTGCAAAAGGGCACAAGAGAACTTTAGGGTATGACAGAAGAGTTACTGTCATGGCCAAGCACGGTGGCCCATGCCTGTAATCCTAGCCCTCTGGGAGGCTGAGGCGGGTAGTTTGCTTGAGCTCAGGAGTTCAAGACTAGCCTGAGCAAGAGCAAGACCCCTATCTCTACTAAAACAGAAAAAAACTAGCTAAGCATGGTGCCGGGAGCCTGTAGTCCCAGCTTCTCTGGAGGCTAAGGCAAGTGGATCCCTTTAACCCAAGAGTTTGAGGTTGCTGTGAACTATGATGCCACAGCACTCTACTCTACCCAGGGTGACAGAGTGAGACTCTGTCCCAAAAAATTTTTTTAAAAAATTTACTTTCGGCTCAGCGCCCATGGCTCAAGCAGCTAAAGTACCAGCCACATACACCTGAGCTGGCAGGTTTGAATCCAGCCCAGGCCCGCCAAACAACAATGACAGCTGCAACCAAAAAATAGCCGGGCATTGGGGCAGGCACCTATAGTCCCATCTACTTGGGAGGTGGAGGCAGGAAACTCACTTGAACCCAGGAGTTGGAGGTTGCTATGAACTGTGATACCATAGCACTCTACCCAGGGGGACAGCCTGAGGCTCTGTCTCAAAAAAAAAAGAAAAGAAAAGAAAAGAAAAAGTTATTTTCATGACTTTGGTGGTTGTTACACTATCATATAAATTTGTCTAAACTTATTGAAATGTGCATTTAAAATTGGCAAATTTTTGGGTGGCACCTGTGGCCCAGTGGGTAGAGCACCAGCCCCATATACTGGGGGTGGTGGGTTCAAACCCGGCCCCACCAAACTGCAAAAAAAAATAGCCAGGCATGGGGCAG